ACTTAAGGAAAAAGAATATTTTAACTCTAATTGTGAGTGTAGTCATTTTTCATTGCTTCATTAAAATTCTATGAACAAATATGAAGTTTAAAAAAACATTTTCAGCCATTGCCCATACTAATGAAGCAGAGTAAACGTACATGACATTCTTTTAAATACTTTAAATTTCTTGTTTATTTTATTATCTTTAATTGTACAAAGGAGGTGCCATTTCACAAAGCAGTTTATGAATACAATGCATCTTAACCAATATCATCCCTTCAACGTTCTCACGCATGCCTCCTAACCAACCCTTCTCTCACTCTTCTTTTTGTATATTTTTTATTGTAAAAATAGTGTACAGAGTGGTTACAGTTACATGAGTAAGGTAATGAGTACATTTCTTATCAAGCATTGTCACCTCCTCCTTTGTTTTCCCCTACCATCTCTTCCCTCCCCAACTCCGCCCCCTGCCCCACCACCCAAAGTAGTAAAGTTTGTTTTCAACATACTGTCTTGTACATCTCATTGTTACAGTGGGTCAACCTGTATCCCGATTTTAGCATTTTATTTCCCTTCCCGTCCCCAAATTAGAAAAAGTTTATACAAGATGCAGGGTACCGGAATCAAATATAGTGAAAACAGGGGTTATACCACCCTCACTCTTCTTAATTTTACAGGATATACATTGAATTCTTGACCGCATTCTCCATGTCTTCTCATTTGTCTACCCCTTACACCTGACTTTACCTCATTCCTTTTAAGTACACACTTCTTGGTATTTTTTTTTGAATTTTGCCTTTGCCTTTCTAAGGCATTACACTATTTGAGCTCTCCCTTGAATTTACCATAATTTAGTGAACACACTTGTATATACTTGCATACTACTCAGTGCACTTACTCACAAGTGTATAAGGTAAATTAAACTTCCACATGAGGGAAAACATGCATCCTTTGCTTAATTGTCCATTGCTTTCACTTTCCTTCTTAAATTCTTTATTATAGTATTTTCTTTGCTATCATTTTACACCAAAAAATATCTTATTACAATTCAGTACATGACATCTCACTCTTAATATTTTCCATTTTCAGGAGAACATTCATTCCACTTCCTGTGTGGTATATATTGTTTTTTTAAACATCTATAGCATAATAGAAACATTTCCTTTGTAGCAAATTAAAAATGATCTGAATTTGCAAATTATGCTCTGAGTAAACAAATTTGAAAACTATGATAATCTGTAAAGGATGAGACGTAATTATGCCATTATATTGATTCTGATATTAACTGAGTTGAATAAATTTATTTTGCATGAATCAACTAATATACTTTTTCCTCAGATTCTACATTAAATGGAGAAAGTATCATTAATTGGTGGTCTTAATTCTCACCTCTCTCTGTCCCTCTCCTATCTTCCCTATGGTTTTTCTCTTCCTCCTCCTCTCTTCCTTTCATTTTCCTACTTAGGTCAATGTACAATGTTCCTTCTTAAATTGGCTTATTTAAATGTAAATCAGTATGTTCAAACAAAACAATATGTATTTCCAAAATTACATTAGTAAGCTTAGTGATATGTTTTCTAGTTAAAGAATATAGGGAGTAACAGAAAATAAAATTAAGTGTACCCATACAATGCCTAAGTTAATCTTCTGTTGTGTCATTTGTTCATTTGATCTACATGTATTGAAGAAGACTATCTCCAGGTGTGGGGATACTAGGAATGCATCAGGCAAAACCTGTTCCTTCAGCTGTTCCCATTTGTTTATCACTGGCTGTGCGGTTATTACCAAATGGGAAATTGTTATAGAACTAAAGAAATTACATTAATCTATTCTTATTTATCACTATGAAACAGGGTCTTATTCCTTTATGTTCAGGACAAAGTACTTGTTATACTGCTGTAAGAAAAATAAAATTAATTATTTTTCTTTTTTTTTATTAAAGGAGGCCACAAAGAACACAGCAGAAATTTGTATTTAAGCAAGTGTGATTACTTTGCAGTAGTGATGGCATATGGGAACATAATAAATTTTCTATAGTACTGGGACTTACTCTGTATGTTGCCCTAAAAATATAAAACTTTCTTCACTTCCACTTCAATATTGACTTCAATTGATCCATATATTTTTGCTATACTTTCATTCGATAAAGTAATTTTTATCTCTTTCTCTTTCCTGTCAATGATGATTAGTAAATAAGTCATAAAATCTGATAGTACTTTAATTTCAATTCTTTTCATTTATGTGAGTAATCATGTGAATGCTATGAGATCTGTCTAAAATAACTTTTAGCAATAAATATAATAAGGTGAGTTTCATATGGTTATTAGATTTTGACTATTAAATATTATTTCTTCAAGGAACCTGCATGTGTCTCATCAAGTGAGGTAGGTGATACTATTTTTTTTAACATCCCCACACAAGTTCATCCTAAAAGAGCATGATTTTAGCAGTTAGAGTGTACACATTAATGTTATTTTAGGGAAAATTAAAATTGAGTTTCTGCGCAGTGTGCAGCCATTTTCTGCTTATTGCCCTTTGACAAAACATATCAGATAAATGACTCCACAGGAAACTGCAATTTACATTGAGTCCATTAAGACCCTACAATTTGTTTGTGCTGTATACAAACTATGTCATTTGCCAATCCCTTTTAAGTACTGGATATTGTATAAATTACAGATAATTATTGAAAACTTTCCAACAAAATTCTTCATACATGTGCAATTATTTTAATAGTACAATGGATCTGATAGTAAATGGCATTTATTTTAGTACATATCTAATAAATAACATGATTTCTAAGTATTAATGACCTAGGCCCTACATGTTTTTTTTCAGGTTCTCCAATAATTTAGCATGGGTTTTGTAATTAATGTTTATTTTCCTTCCCTAAGGAATTATTTCAAGCTGTTGCCCAGGTAATAGTTTTCATTTAAGTAATATGACGTTAGTATTTATTGAGATGCATAAAATTCATTATCAGTTGGTAGTATTTTGGCTATTATATTTTTTTCTTTTTCTTTTTGGTCCGGTCGTGGGGCCTGAACTCTGGGCCTGGGCGCTGTCCCTCAGCTCTTCAGCTCAAGGCTAGCACTCTACCACTTGAGCCACAGGGCCATTTCCGGCTTTTTTCTTTTTGCTTATGTGGTGCTGAGGAATCGAACCCAGGGCCTCAGGCATGCAAGGCAAGCGCTGTACCACTGAGACACCTACCCAGCCCCGGCTATTATATTTTTTATTGAAAGCTTCATACCACAAAATTGATCTCACTGGCAAAGGAAATCACCACTTAAAAGTGTTTAAATTTTCATACAAATTACATTTCTTAATAAGTAACCACATTATGATTGCTTTTTCGTTCAAAGTTCACAAATTTATTCTACACCCATATATTATTTCTCTCTCCTTCCTGAAAACTTGAAGAAATGTTTTATTCTATTTTTATCGTTCTGTTTTCAGCAAGTAAATTAAGATAGATATGAACTTATTTTTCAAGAAAATAAATGTAGAATATTATGCAACTTTTCAGATGCTAGATATAACAGTTGAAGTGTCATTACTATTGCTCATTACCATCACTTTGATAATAACTTCATAGACAGGGAGCCCAAAAGAAAAGATCTCCAAGCTCCAGGAATTCATGTAACCCATCTCACAGTCTGGAGAGGTGAGATGTGTTCAAAGAAAGAATGAGTCTCACAATCAGGTTAAGTCTAGCTCCATAATGTAGTTTCCCAACTGAAAGTGAAGAGAGGTATATTGACCATCCTTAATTGTATTAGATGATATGGATTTGAATTATGCAAAATGTTACATGAGATCTGGTAAACAGATGCATCTAAACAGGTAATAAATATCATCATGCACAGAAGAAATTCATGGCGAAACTTCCATAAGAGAGGCACTTTCTTTGAATTCTTTTTTTGTTTTCTTTTGTTTTTTGGGGGGGGTTTTGGTTTGGGGGGTTGGGGGGGTCCGGTTGTGGGGCCTGAACTCTGGGGCCTGGGCTCTGTCCCTCAGCTCTTCATGAGCTAGCGCTCTACCACTTGAGCCACAGCGCCTCTTCCGGCTTTTTCTTTTTGCTTATGTGGTGCTGAGGAATCAAACCCAGGGCCTCATGCATGTAAGGCAAGTGCTCTACCACTGAGCCACCTTCCCAGCCCTTTCTTTGAATTCTTATAAACAAAAACTATTTAGGAAATTCTAATTGTTATTAAAGTCTTTATATTTTGCTAAAATGCTTCCAGTTTCATTTTCCCATTATACCATTCTTTAACATAATTATTAATTCATCTAATACAGTAATGGTTCCAAGGAAATTGGAAGGCACTATTGTCTTTCTACAAATCTTTCTATTTTCACTTTGTATAAAATAAAAATTCTTCTGAAGGAAGATGTCTTTGTGGTTCATATTTAATCTCTAAATTAGCTTATAGAGTCAAATCAAAAGCTCTAGAATTTACTACAATGATACTAATAAAGATGTTTTATATTTTTATGTGTGGATGTATATATATATATATTTACAATACTATTCATGATCAATTAAGCTCATAGACGTTAAGCAATGTAGTCAAGTTCATGGAGTCAAATGTTTGAGGTCAGGGGAAATAACGTTTGGTTCTCTCTGACTCTAAAATGCAGACTGATTTCTAACACAAATGGAAAAGAAATGACAAACGGAGACACATCTTGTAATTCACAATATATTCCTCATAAGTTTGTGCATAAACTTTTGGGAGTTTTTAGTGACATTTTTTCTCTCTACAGACCTTACTTAATAATATACCTTTTCTAACTATATATGATTAACTTATTTAGTTCTGTAATTAACCACAAATGTTGACACAATTATTATAGCTTCATGTACTTAAGCTTACTCTTTTTTTAATTAGGTAAATTTTTACCATTTTATAAACAATTAAATTTCAAATTCATTTGGTTTTGCTAATGTCTGCTTTGAATTATGGAGGACATAGCATATTATAGTAGACACTGATCATTTTCCTTCTCTCTAGAACAAAAATGCCCAAGTTGTTCAGAAGTTGAACTTCTTCCAGTGTCTCCAGACTCTTCACCAAAGCCAGATTGTGATGAATCTATGGAGTCAGATTCAGATTTGTGCTCAGCCCATGGTCGCCATGCTGGTGAGTTCTGAATTTTGGAGGAACAGGAAAAAGACTACAAAGGGATAAATAACCAGAAGCAAAAAGGCCACAACTTCTAACATAGTAGTTATGAATAAAATCTTATGGTCTAGAAAGAAAAAGAGAGGGGGGAGGGAAGGGAGGAAGGAAAGAGAAAGAAAGAAAGAAAGAAGGAAAGAAAGAAAGAAAGGAAGGAAGGAAGGAAGGAAGGAAGGAAGAAAGAGAGAAAGAAAGAGGAAGGAAGGAAGGAAGGAAAGATGGAAAGACTCATTTACATTTAATATATAAACTCAAATGTTTTCTCTTACATCATTTTGCTTTATCCCTCAAGCCAAGTAAATATAGCAGGCAGGATTCATTATGTTCATTTAACCAAAGAATCATAATGTGATGTAAGGAACTATAAGCAATTAATTGCCCCAGCTTCAAATAAGATTTTCCATCTTATTTCATGGCAAGGTTGTGTGATGAAGAATAAATCACAATTTCTCTATGGCCTTTTGATCAGAAAATAAAATGATTATAATTTTTTTACAGAACAGAGAAGAGATCTCCACCAGTGAGGTAAATAATTTTAACAAAGGAGATACATACCCTTCTAACTAGCATGATGGTATACATTGTTCTAGACAGCCTCTATCTTCTATGCTCACTATTTAAGTAATAAATATAAATATAAAGAATTTAGAAAATGGGGATGACATTCTTAACATTTAGGTGAAGGCAAGAATTCGGAATAAATTTGTGTTAGCAAGTCCTAATGCATTTTTTCCCACAAAGTTACCTCATATCAGAAAATATAGTTTCCTTCTGAAACTTTGTACAAAGAATGAAGAGTCTACCTTGTCAGTTTAGGATTATAGTCCATCCAGATTCATACAAAGTGCTATTGTTCATATATCTTACTGAATATCATAGATAAATGAACTAAAGACACTCTTAATACTATCCAATATATAACCTATTTTTATTAAATGTTGTTTTATTAATTGGTTGTTTTGTTGTTGTTGTTTTTGTTGTTTTGGTGTCTCGCTGCTCTCAAACTCACAAACCTCCTGTTTTATCATCTTTAGTGCTATGATTACAAGGATGAGTTATTTTGCTTGGCTAATAGGCTAGTGAGTTTTGTTTCTATTTATTTTATCTCAGAGAACGTTTTAAAAGTACAAAGCAAAAACAAAAATAATTACCTAAATAAATTTTAATATATATTATTCCTCTTTTTTAAGGAATTTCCCAGCTTCTCTCAAGAAGTAAGTTAAACTATATTATATATAGTTAGAAAATTAGTTTTATTATTACCATCACTATTCTGTTTGTAATACTAAACATTATTTATTTTGTAGCAATATAAGCAGAAAAAGGACATGGCTGAGAATGTTGCTCAGGTAATTCTTATTTATTTGTTCATTGATGAGAGATGTAGTTAATATATTTACATTGTTTCATCAGTTTTATCCCTTTAAAAAGTCTCTTTATTTATTCTTCCAATGAACAATCCAAACCTAGAGTGACTCTTATATCCAGACCTAAGTGGTAGTGTACTTGGATTGCATTGTTTTTAAGATACTCAAAATAAAGCAGATATAAAAGCAGTATTTCATATCAAATCATATTTGGGTAATAAAATATTCTATATGCTCAAAATATATATATTACTTTAATGTATTCACTGATTCTGATTCCTAGTGGTTCACATCTGTACACTTAGCTACTGAAGAGGCTGAGATCTGAGGATAGTGGTTCAAAGTCAGCCTATGCAGGAAAGTCCACAAGACTCATCTCTAATAAAACTACTCAGAAAAAGCAAGAAGTGGAGCTGTGGCTCAAATGGTACAGCACTAGCTTTGACAAAATAGAAAGCTCAGGGATAGCGCCCTGGCCTTGAGTTTAAGCCCCAGAACTGGCACAAAATAAAAATAAATAAATAAAACACATGTCAATCTAGTATGACTGGCATGTATGTGCTCTGTAGACAAATAAACATTATCTTCTAGAATAAACAGTGCTCAACCACTGAGTTCAAGACCCAGGACTGGCGCGCGCACACACACACACACACACACACACACACACCAATGCAAATTAATTTATAATAATTATTTTTTATCTATTCATAAAAGAGGGGTTGGTGTATATGTATGTATGAAATTGTATATAACCAATACAGTGAAAATAATATATCCACACATTCATTCCTTTAAGGAAATCCCAAAGAAGACTATTAATGTAATAAAGTATTATTTCTATATAAAGCTACATTGATTCATATTTCTAAAAGATAACATTAAACATTAATAGTTTTGAAATATTCACCTTGTAAAATTATAGAGTAATACTAATTCTTAGTTTATATTTAATTGACAAATATTTTTGGAGTCAGTATTACATTTCAATACATATATGCAAGATATAATGATCAGATCAGTGTTTGATAATTGATATTAGATATTAATTTTTCAAACTACTTAGAATACAAGTTCTCTCTAGCTCTTAACTGAATTTGTTCACTTAAAACCATTCATGTGAGCAAAGCCCTCCAATACAGACTGTGTTATCTAGTTCCACTATTTGTTTCCTTTGTTGAAAAATTAGATATTTGCTATTTTTTTAAACAGGGAATTTTATGAGTTAGTCCCTTCACCAGTCTCCTAGTACCCTTGTTATAAGAAAAATCTTAAATTTTACAAATACTGAGAATATACTGCTAAATATTTAATTGTTCTTATCATGAAGTCTTTGTATCTTTGATTTCTTGAGGAAATCTCCCAGGAATTCTAGAGATCAATCAAATAACTACTCAGTTCATTTGCTCGGAATTCCTGCTACTCAGTAGTTATTTTAAGCAAATTAGATGTTCCTAATTTTAATAGAGCTACATAAAAATATTCAGTAGATATTTTTACTTTCTTTGTGGTTCTGGAAAGTAAACCCAGGGCCTCATCTACTGTAGATAAGTGTTCTACTGCTGAGTTAAACCTCCATCTTCAAAATACACCAAAAAGATAAAGGAAAATATCAGAATTACAGGTTCTAAGTTATTTGAGAGGTCTGAAATACACTGTCTGTATGCTGAGAGCAGATGTTCTTTCTTACACTCTCAGATCATGTCTAGCTAGATTTGGGTTCCTTCAAATATGTTCTTTTAAACCAAATTAAAGCAATACTGGAACTCCCAATTTTCTTTACTATACCTTTATTCATGACCTTCTCTCATGCCCAATATTGATTATGAAGCTGAGTCATAAGTTATATAAATTATAAGTACAATAAATACCTACAGTGGTAAGAAGTGGCAGGTAGGTGAGCACAATAGGGAAATACATGGGAACAGCATCGATTGTGAATAAAGTCTTGTGGCTGGACCACAGCCCAACGTCTTCTTCCTCATTATCTTGGAAAGCAATGTTATACATCTACTCTCCATCTCTAACCATGAACATATGGCCACAAATACAAAGACTGGTTGATTTTCATCAAATCTTGAGGAAGTTTAATTAAGCTTTATCTCTCACACACAAAACCTGTACTTTATGAGACTATGACACTATCAGAGCACTGTAGATAATCAAATATTTAATGTATATTCAGAGTTTGTTTGGGGATAGTAGAGGCATAGCCTTGAATTATTAAAATAATTAGCACTAACTTACAGTACTGTAGTGATTTAGACAAAATTATTGATGGATTATTCAAGAAAAGCTAATTTCATTTTCTTTTCCTAAGGATTCAACTGAAATATTTACTGAGGTAAATAATTATTATTAACTAAAATTACTGAATATTATCCCAGATTTTATTTTAGATTTTATACTGGTTTATTTTGTTATTAACAGGGTACTGAGATGACTGAAGAACAAAAGAACATAGTAAAATTTCTGGTAACTTTTCCATACCATCATTTATAATATTGAATCTACTTCGAATCTACTTTGTCAAATCGTAATCTTTTTGCCAAGTTTTAATTTTTTTGGAAGTATTCCTTATGGCTTGTCAAAACTATTACAGAAGTATTCCATCACTGAACTGGTTAGATTATAGACAAATATTCACCAAAAAACTATTTTCTGGTAATCCCCAAAACCCTTTGGTTTTTCCACTTCACAAAAATGAGAACTAATCCTGAATGAAGGTGTCAATGTTTAATTCCAAATTTAATCCCTGCAACAACCTATGACCAGGTCCATATATGTAGTTCAAAACAAAATCTAGGTGAAAGCACCATGCAAACTGTTCTCTCTGTGTTAGCTCATTACTTCAGAAAGGTAAATAAAACACAGAGTGCTAGCTTCATAATGTTATAGATTCTACTAAATTACTATTTAGTTTCATTCTAAGGACCAGGGATTTTTCTTCCAGACTTAGAAATAAAACCACAGCTGATACACTTAATTAGCAAGTCATAGAACGTTCTTGCCTTCTTACCTGGCCTTCTTAATTTCCCTTTCTATTTTTTGTTGTTGGTTTCCCTTGTTTGTTTGTTGTTCCACATAAGTAAACCCAGGCCTAGAGAACTAAATTAACCAAAAGATTCTCTCAGTTCTACAATCCATTCTATGACTGTAAACACAAAGTTAATCTGTGTAATTAAATTTCCCTTCTAGTTAGTCACCATTGAGTATAATTTAGAATTTATCAAAATCAAGTTTCAATTCCTTTGGTGATGACCAGGTCTGTTGTGATGTTGGATAATGATCTCTATGTTTTCTTGTAGAACAAAATGAAACAGGTTATCTGGCTCCAAAACCAAGTACCTGTTCATCAATATCAGAAAATTTTCAACCCATGGAATCATGGTCTGATAAACCCTGAACAAGTTGTCTTCCCTCTGGTAAGTGTTCTATTTTTATGTCTCATTCAAATATTAAGTATCTTTTGTGAAAAGAAGCTAAAGAAATGGAAGGATAAAATTAAAGCAAGTTCTCAAGTAGAAGCTAAAACAAATTTAAATTTGTTTCTAAGCTGAGAATTAAATCATAAATATTTAGCTCAAGTAAATCCATAATAAATGAAAATAATATTTCACCTTGGATTTAAGTTTAGCTAGTTATAATATTTTGTCATTAGTTCCTGTAGTAACTTTAGAAAGTAGTTTTCCCAGCTTACAAAAGCATTTCAAAGTCTAAACGTAGTAGAAACAAAATCTACCTAACATTTTTTTCCATTTTAAAACAACTTGGGAAACATCTTCTAGCATGAGCAGTAACTGGAAGAAGAATAGGAGACTCAACCTAGACAAATAACAGTGTGGGACTTAAAATCAGAAGAGCTGATATACACAAATATTTGATCTTAGGAAAATCATATCCTTTCACAGAGTATTTTACATTTTAGTTGTTATTGTTATTTATGCATATACCATTTAAAGGTATCTTTATTAGAGAAAGTAAGAAGTTAGTATTTATAATATATATATATGTATATCAGATGCCAAAAGTTGAATATGGTGGTATGTCTATAATCCCAGACATTCAGGAAACTGAAACAGGAGGATCATGAGTTTAAGGCCAGCCAGAGTAAAACTGGTAAGACTGTATCTTGAAATTAAATTGAAGCTGAGAGTCATTGGTTCATGCCTTTAACCTAGCTACAGAGGAGGCTGAGATCTGTGGATCCAGGTTCAAAGCCAGCCAGAGCAGGAAGGTCTATAAGACTCTCATCTCCAATTAACTACCAGAAAACCAGAAGTGGTGTTGTGGCTCAAAGTGGCAGAGCTCTAGTCTTGAGAAAACAAGCTTAGGGGAAGCTCCCAGACCCTTAGTTCAAACTCCATAACCACCAACCACTCCCCTGGAAAAAAGAAATTAAATTGAAAAAAAAAAAACTAGTGATACCACTCACGTGGTAGAGTATTTGTCCTAAACAGCATTTGGCCTAGAAAGTGCAAAGCTGTGGATTTAATCCTTAGTACCACATCTGTTAGAGAGAGATGATAGATAGATAGATAGATAGATAGATAGATAGATAGATAGATAGATAGATAGATAGATAGATAGATAGATAATGTTGTAAATATTCCGTGGAGATAGACATTTTTGTTTGTTCCTTATTATAAATATTTTATCATATATGTTCTCTTTTAAAGAGGTATTTGTAGCTGGGCTCTGGTGTCTCACACCTGTAATCCTAGATACTCAGGAGGCTGAGATATGAAGATCACCGTTCAAAGCCAGCCTGGGCAGGAAAGTCCCTGAGACTCTTGAATCCAATAAACTACCAGAAAACTGGAAGTGGTGCTGTGGCTTAAGTGGCAGAGCACTGGCCTGCAGCTGAAGAGCTGAGGGACAGAGCCCAGGCCCAGAGTTCAAGCCCCACATCCAACACACACAAAATAAGAGAGAGATAGTTGTAACATTCTTGAGTTAACAGCTTCTATTTTGATAAATATGCTTTAAGTCTAGAATATAAATGAGATTTTTCTCTGTGTTGCATATTCTTATAATGCACTGTAAATTAATATAATTTCAATATTTGAATTTCTTGTACTTTAAAGAATGTAAACTATCCATGTAATGTGCATAAATATTAGAAAAATCAACTATAGAAAATGTTCTCAATAGCTATTGGCAGCCAGAAGCAATGTCTCTGAATGAAAATCATCAAAGCATGATGTTTCATAAAGGTTTGGCTGTCACCTGTCAGATGAGCAGGAATTCTTATACTCATTATATTGCCTTGAAGGAAGTTGAATGACATCAAGAAAATTTCATACACCATCCAAGTCATTTAAGACAACTTTCCTGCATCATATTTTCTGGAAAACTTGCATCATTTTTAAATATAAAAATATGATCTTATTTTATCTTTGACACTTTAAACAGTAGGTTTAAATTCATAATGAAAGCAAAGGTAAATAATTCATACAAGTCAAAAGCTAGTCAGTTGCAAACTGGTGGCTCACACATGTAATCCTAGCTACTCAGAAGGCTGAAATCTGAGGATAGTAGCTCAAAATCAGCCCAGGTAGAAAATACTATGAGACTCTTACCTTCAAATAATCACCAGAAAAGCTGGAAGTAGAGCAAGGGCTCAAGTAGTAAGCAAAGCAGCTCAGGGACAGGGCCCAGACCCTGAGTTCAAGCCCCAGAATTGACACAAAAAACAAATAAAACACATGTCAAATGAATATGGACTTCTATGTGCTCTGTATACAAATAAATTATTTTCTAGAATATAACCCAGTATTGCCTTTTGCTTTATTTTTTAGGCTTGAACAGAAAAAAAGAAGCCATCTTCTATCATAATTACTTTGTACTAGCAGAATACTTGAAAAGACTAAAAATAAGGCAGAAATATCCAGACAAAAACAAGATGCAAATTGCTTATATTCTTGTTAATTCATGTAGACTATATTGAGTCTGTATTATGGTTTCATATGACCTGGACTGATGACTATATAATGTTTTCACCACTCTTTCTGTGTCATAAAACCACATTACTCCCCCCCCAATAAAATTTCCAGTGCATTCTCTGGTGTATAATTATAGTTTCTATTAGTTATATTGACTCACAAGGCTGTGGATGGGAATACAAAGAGTCAACAATTATATTTAAACATCTTGATAATCACAAAAATGTCTTCCTATCCGTGCTGGACACTGCATTTTTATATGACTAATAACCTTGAGCATTACCAATTATATCCGCCAGTGACAGCTAGGCCCTATTCAACCAGCATTCTATGTGTCTAGTTCAGCCTGGTTTACAGTTTGTCACAACCTTAATCCAAAACTTTCACCACAGTCCTGAATCCCCATGTTCCATTCTACTTTGTCATAGTAGAGTCAAACATGGAGAGCATAAGCCATATAATTTCATAATTCTCATCCTCTCCAATAATGGTGACACTAAATAAATAGCTAAAGCAATCAGCTAAATTCCCCCCTCCCCCGTTGAGTTATACTGTAGTGTGCTAAAGGACTAAGCATGCCAGAGAAGATGGAAGACGAACATAATAGAAAAGCAGATCAATTAGGAAGAGACAAGGGTGACTATTATTTGCATTTTAGAAATCTATGTTAAACATTCACAGAGCACCCTGGAGAGGTTTCTGAAAGACAAACTTTAAAGAGTTTATCTCTGATTCCCTAAAATACTCTAGTCCTATACTTTTCGCATTATCGTCCATTTTCTTGCATTCCTCTTAGCCATCTTTCCCAATCCCGTAAGTAGCCTGAGGACTGAATGGTTTCTCAGAAGGAAGTGCCATATGACTTGTATTTAGAAAGGGTGGAGCAGGTAGAATCTGAGAATTTTTCTTTGTTGTCATAGAACCTCTCATTCTTAACACTGATTGCATTACATTCTTTGTTCGCTATTGGCTACACTCCTCCTGACCTCAGCCTTGATTGTTTAAAATACCGTCTTAGTAGCTCATGTAAGTCCTCTGCCCCTCTACATTTAACCAACTCTATCTGGAAAACACCCAACCATGTAAACTCTGAATTTGGTTTTTACTGCCACTCCATCTAAGCAGCTGAATCTTAAAGTAAGTCTATATTTTCTAAAGTTTGTTGGTCACCAACGATGTCTTATCCAATTTTCTCTTGCTGGCATTAGAGTCAATTGTTTTCCTCAACTCTCCTTAATCATCATAAATATATCTCACAAGAAAATAGTTTTCCTTTTAAATCGAATTTGAACATAATTTTAACTCTGTCCTTCAAATTTCAAAGAATGAAGGTTCTTCCTCTACTTCAAAGCTAATGGCTCTTTGAGTGTTTTTTACATTTCTCAGCAATCTATCCTTTTTAGAGCAGAAGTAATAATGATGATAATAAGATCTAAAGCTAACAAAGCAGCACTGTGCAGGGCATCTTATGTATGTCTACACCTCTTACCACTATTGAAATCACTATAATTTTAATAGTACAAGTATTCATATTATACTTTGAAGATGAAAAAATGTGACAGAAACAGAGTGATTCTTTAAGAGGAACTATTCTATTTTGTTCTTTTCATTGAATTACTTTCTGGTAATGCTCCTGATTTTCTTGATGTTTTCTCCCAGACATTTTACAGGATTCTGCTCTTTCACACAAGCATTGTAGCTCCTAGGGTTCTGAACTCAGTCACTTCTTTTCTAACTTCATGTTTTCCACATGACTTTCCATTTAGCCATTTAAAACAACATACCAGCTGCTGATTAAAACCAGAAACTGTTTGTCCAGATTTCTCTCCGTAGTGATGCCTTGCCCTCTAACATAAGCATATCAATTAACTCCTGAATACCTCTCTCTCTCTCTCTCTCTCTCCCACCCCTCCATCGCCCTCCTGGTTTAAATTTAGCATAAGGAATAAAAAAAAGGATTATTTCACTTGCAGCCCTAGAACCCACAGTATTATCTTATATACAGATGGATTCTCTGGTTATTCCATGTATTTCAGAACTCAGATTTACTTGCAGCAAATTAAACTGGAATATAGCATTTTTGTTTATTATATGCTTACTGTACTGTGATAGGTAGAGTGTTTTTTAAAAATTACTAAATATTTGCTGCTGCCTCATTTCTTTCTTTCTTTTTTTGCCAGTCCTGGGGCTTGAATTTAGGGCCTGACACTGTCCCTGAAGTTCTTTTGCTCAAGGCTAGTACTCTACCACTTGAGCCACAGCACCACTTCTGGCTTTTTCTTTTTATATGGCACTGAGGAATCAAACCCAGGGCTTCATGCATGCTAGGCAAGCACTGTACCACTGAGCCATATTCCAAGCCCATATTTCTTCATTTCTAAATGAAATAATTTGAAGAAGATATATAGACATATATAGAGGGAAGATATAGAAGATATTAGAGAAGATATTAAGACATAAAATGCATTATAAAAATCTAGCTATCAGTTTCATATTTATGGCAACACAGTCGATGGAATCTGCTTGCCAAACATTTATATTGTACATGACAACCATCAACATTTTCAAAGGCATAACCATGATTCATGGATGGAAAAGTACTCAGTTTCCATTAATACAAAATATGATATGTCCTGGTTTATCAGTTTTCTAAAATTTACTGTTTATAGAATATTAAATTGTGCCTAACAAGCTACTCATCATTGTTCTTGGCTATATTACTGTCAGAGAAAATTGACCAATATTTAACCTCATTTTGTCACAAAATAGTGAACTTAATAATAGCTGTTTTTACTATTCCATTTTATAATAAGGAGTCTACTAAATTCAAATCAAGTTTTTCGACTTACTCATTTAGAAGAAGCTAATCCTTTAGAGCTTTAAAATTCAAGTGCCTTGTATTCATTTGGTCCCAAGAGAGAAACTCACAGGAAGAGGGAAACAAAGGGGAGACTGACAAGAAAGAAGGAAAAAAGACCACAAGAAAATGGAAGGCAAAGACAAAACTTTGGGAATGAGCCAGGCACCAGTGGCTCACACCTGTAATCCTAGCTACTCAGAAGGCTGAGATCTGAGGATCATGGTTCAAAGCCAGCCCAGGCAGGAAAGTCCATGAGACTCTTAGCTCCAATAAACCACTAGAAAACCGGGAGTGGCGCTGTGGCTCAAGCAGTAGAGTGCTCGCCCAGAGTTCAAGCCCCACGACTGACAAAAAAAAAAAAAACTAAGGGAATGAGAAAGAACTGAGAGCTTTGAAAGTTGGAGAAAAAAAAACAGGAAAGGTCACACACAACTATGTTAGAGTGATACAATTTTTGTCTACAGTGAGATGGAAGGATAAATAAACAAGCATTTGTCTTTTTGTAATTTAATTTTATTGCCAAGGTGATGTACAGAGGGGTTACCGTTACATAAATAAGGTAATAAGTACATTTCTTGTCAAAAGTTGTTATGCCTTCCCTTCTTTTTCTCCCACTTTCCCTTCCCTCCTACTCTCCACCACCACCCCCATTCCTAAAGTTCATTTCCAACATATTGTCTTGTGAGTATCACTGTTACATTGATTCACTCTTTGCCTTTGTCTCACCATTTTTTGTTCCCCTTCCCTTCCCCAAATCAGATAAACATTTATACAAGACCCAGGGGTGCCAAAATCAAATACAGTGACAAAAGGTTAGGATAACCCTAAGGAAAAATAAAAAACAAAAGAAATAAAAAAATAACTTCTTACAGTACATTAAAAACAACAACCTCTTGTTTGCTTAATCATTAAGAGTGAATATAATTGGTTTTCTATATATAGGAGATCTTTAAGTATTGGGGAGGGGAATGGGAAGGGGAGGGGAGGGAAGGAATGGTAGGGAAAAACAAAGAAGGGGGTAACAATGCTTGACAAGAAATGCACTCATTACCTTACACATGTAACTGTAACCCCTCTGTACAGTATCTTTACAATAAAATATTTCAAACAAAAGAGTGAATATTACTAATGGCATAAGAAAAAAGAAATAAACCAGGACATTGTGGGAATATATGATAGAGTACAGATGATGAAAAGTGAATCCAACAGATTATATATTGATGATATTAAAAGGGTAAGCAGAAATAATCCAACCCTGTGTTCAGGGTTGTTGTGTGACCATAAATATAGTCTACCTCTTAGGGTCTATTCCATTTCAGCATAAGAAGAATAAGCTCAGAGATTTCTATTCGGTGTGGTAATCTATGAGTGTTATTACAGAAACTTGGTTGAATATTGCTCAAACTATTTTTATTGCTAATTGCCTCCCTTTTGTTTTGTTTTGTCTTATAAAACATTTCTCTTCAGTTTTTTTTCTGAACACAAATTACTTATGAAATTATTCTTCTTTCATCTTTTTCAAGATATCATTTATTTTTTGTGTGTATGGTTCTGAAAGGTTTACTTTGCAATTTTTTTTCTCCTCCTCATTCTCCTCCTTCTCCTTCTCCTCCTATTTCTCCTCTTTCCTCTCTCCTCTTCCTCCTCCTCTCTTTTTCTTTTCCTCTTCAGGGGGTTTTCTCTTTTTGTTCTCAGCAAGTATAAAATATTTTTCATGTAGGTGCATATGTATGTATATGTAGAATTTAACATGCTTGATGTTTTCTGGGTACCTTGTATGTATGCTTTTGTTTTTGTCGTTAATTTTGAATAATCCTTGAATATTATTTCTTTAATTATTCTGCTCTGTTACCTTTTCCTGGGCTTAAAATTACACAGATGTTTGAACATTTTCTATTTTTCAGATTGTGTTTGACGTTCGTAATTTCTGTGAATTGGATTCAGGTTTTCTGATTTTTATGCTGTTTTGAACCTACTGGTGAGCTAAGTACATGTTTGGGGTTTTTTCGGTAATCAACTTCTGATTTCTAACATTACCAATGATTTCTTTGGAAAGACATTTATTTAGGGATTCGCTGTGACATTCCCACATCTACTATTCCCATTCAACCCCCTTCTACAACAATTTCAACCTGTTTTATCATTGTCTTTTCCTATATGAATATAGAGGGGGTCAATACTGTATCTTCTCAGTTCATGTTTCTTTATTCCCAGACAGGACAGAAGTATGTATTACTTGTTCAAGGGATTTACCTGAGAATTCACATATACTGTACTTTAATCCGATTAACCCTCATATTACAATCTCTTCCCCACCTAGTCCCCTACTATATTACCCTACAACATTCTTTTCTTTTTTGGGGGGGGCGGGTACGGTCGTGGGGCCTGAACTCTGGGCCTGGGCGCTGTCCCTCAGCTCTTCAGCTCAAAGCTAGCGCTCTACCACTGGAGCCACAGCGCCACTTCCGGCTTTTTTCTTTTTGCTTATATGGTGCTGAGGATTCAAACCCAGGGCCTCAGGCATGCAAGGTAAGCGCTCTATCACTGAGCCACCTTCCCAGCCCCATACCCTACAACTTTCTATACACATATACCACAAACTCCATGGAGTCCATTCTAACAGTTTGCATATCTGTGCTCAAATTTATATCTGCAATCTTTCATTGTGTGTGCTTTTACCACAAGCCTTCAATATACTAACCAAATATACTCTAAATACTCTGCTTGGGAGTTACAAAATTATTTTAATGACTGAATATAATTTTGGCATGAAAATCTGGGTTTTTTTTGTCAATTTGGGGTTTGAATAAAGGTCCTCATGCTTGTTAGGCAGCTGTTCTACCATTTGAGGCATGCACCTAGCTTTCTGAACGAGTTATGATATTGACAGGGGTGTTTATATTTGTTTTTAGGGGCTATTTCTTTTATTTTATTATTATCTTTAAGTAGTTGTACCAAGAAGTTGACATTTAACAAAGTTATGAATACAATATATCTTGATCAATATCACCCCCTTCAACATTCTCATCCATCCCTCCCCTACCCACCCTTACCCTTTTCTTAATTTTGTAGGATATACATCATATTCTTATCTATGATCAAGGTAAAAGAGACAGGTTTTGTTTCCTTTTTTAATTCATGTATATTAATTGTACCAAGTAATAGCTTTTGCTTTTTATTTGCAGTTTTTGCTTGTTTATTATTAAATAGTTACACAAAGAGGTTATCATTCCATAAATCAGCTTTTAAGTACAATGTATCTTGATCTACCTCCATCATTCTCCCTCATTAGTCCCCCTCCCATCTTTCAAAATTGCATAGTTCAATTTGTACATATTGAATATAAGGATTATATATGCTTACCTTTCCTCCTTACATTCATGTCCATTGGACATAAACACACTTTTCCTTCTGTGAAGCCCTTAGTGTATATCATTATTCTATATGTTAGTTACCAAGAGAGAAAGACATTCTTGGAATAGAGCACTCTCTCACTGCCAAACACTATAGCCACTGGTTGAACCAAGACAGTATCGAGGTCCCATGGCTTCCCTTATTTGCAATAACTAGTCTATGTCTGGGACAAGCAGAAAAGGTCAAATAAGATGATGTTAAGCGAAATGAATGCAAGATAAGGACACAAGTGGTTTTTTCTTTCTTGCTATTGTTTCTAACATATTTATAAGGTACCATGTGATTTTTTTTGTTGCTCCCCCACGGTATAACCCCTGTTTTCACTGTATTTGATGTTGGTATAATATGGGGAGGGGAAGGGAAAAAACAAATTGTTTAAATAGGGATACAGGTTGTAATGTGATACATCACATTGCAACAATGTGATGAACGAACTTTACAATTTAGGCAGGGGAGGGGAGAGGTGAAGAGGGAAGGGGGGAGTGTAGTTGAGGTGGGAGGAAAGGGATGGTAGGGGAAAAAAAATAAAAGAAATCACATCACATTACTGTAATGTCTGACTTAGAGATCACCAGCTAGTACTACATCTTTATAATTTTCTGTTTAACTTTGTGTTCCATGATAGATATGAGACTATCAATCACAAATGTATAGGATGAATTTTTCAGCTTTTAATATCCATCAGAGGTAATTCTATTTATAATACCAACATATGAAAGAAATTGTGCTTTTAAAAAATTGTGATTCTGGGGCTGGGAAGGTAGCTCAGTGGTAGAGTGCTTGCCTTGCATACATGAGGCCCTGGGTTCGATTCCTCAGCACCATATAAGCAAAAAGAAAAAAGCCGGAAGTGGCACTGTGGCTCAAGTGGTAGAGCACTAGCCTTAAGCTGAAGAGCTGAGGGACAGAGCCTAGGCCCAGAGTTCAGGCCCCACAACCGGACCCCCCCCAAAAAAAATTGTGATTCCATTATATTAAATGCTTAACTTTAGATATGCATTGTAACTGGTGGCAAAAATAGTGCTGAAATAGATTATATGTAAAGTGTTTTCAGGAATTAAGCTTAAGGTACTGGGCTGCAATTATCCTGCTTCCTGATTTTGTCTTTTATTGTCAGATTGTCACAATAACTTACCTAATTTTATGTTTCTATAAAAGAAAAATAATTCACAGCCTTAGTGATAGGTTTGTAGTGTTTTTCAGAATTGATACAGATTTATTTAAATACTAAAAAATAAACAAAATTGAAGAGTTCTTATAAATATCCTTGTGTTGAAATCATCTCCATAATCATTCATCTTATATGCTTTTGCCACACATCTTCAATATATTAACCAAATATACTCTAAATACTCTGTTTGAGGGTTACAAAATTATTGTTCAGATCCAAGACCAGGACCTTTAATGATTACTGTAGTTTCCATCCTGGAAACAAGGTATCCTTCATTTTTCATATTTAAATGCTGCTGCTTTTGAATATTTCCTGATTAATCTCAATTTGTGCCTATAAATGCATGATGTGATTATATTTTCTTCTGGCTTAAAGAGGTTGGTACATAATGTGCTGTTTAAAGCTAATATATGTTTGTGCATTATTCAGTATAACCATTCTGAAGAGGTTAGCTGAGATAATAACAATAATAATAGAAATAATAATAAATGATGCAGTAGTGTACATTTTCTTTTTTAATATATATTTTTATTGTAAAGATACTGTACAGAGAGTTTACAGTTACATGAGTAAGTTAGTGAGTGCATTTCCTTTCAAGCATTGTTACCCCTCCTTTGTTTTTTCCTACCATTCCTTCCCTTCCCATCTCCCTACCTCCCCACCTCTTCCCTTTCCCCAATCCCCAAATTGTAAAGTTTGTTTTCAACATAATGTCTTGCATATCTCATTGTTACAATGGGCCAACCTGTATCCTTGTTTCAGCATTTTTGTTATTTCCCTTCCCTTCCCCAAATTAGAAAAATGTGTTTTCAAGATGCAGGGCATCAGAATCAAATAGAGTGAAACCAGGGGTTATATCATGGAAGAAGAACATACAAAAGAAGCGAAAAAATCACATAGTACATTAAAAACAACAGCGACAAAGAAAAAAAAAACCTCTTGTATCCCTATCTTGGGGTTCATTTTGCTTAGCATCATCTTATATGATCATATGTACATAACTTTTGACCTTTTCTGCTTGTCTGGTAAGATTATCCTAGACATATACTAGTTGCAAATAAGGGAAATCATGGGACCTATGTTTCCTTCGGTCTGGCTGGCTTTACCCAGATCAGATAGGGCAGTATCTGTTCAAGGGAAGACTCATAGAAACATGGATGCAGTGTACATTTCCTAGGCCTTCTGTAAAAATTATTTTTCTAGCCTAGATTTTATTTAAGACTAAACAGCCACATCCATAAACTTGAAAAAATCATTATTAGAATATACTTGTTATAATCAGTTACTGGTAGCTCAAGTATATAATCCCAGGTATTCAGGAGGCTGAAATTTGGAGGATTAATGTTTGAAGCCAGCCCAAATAGAAAAGGCCATAAGATTCTATCTCCAAAGTAACCAGGAGAAAGCCAAGATGGAGGTGTGGCTGAAGGAGTAGACAGCCAACCACACAAGCAAGGACAGCAAACACTGGTCTCTAACTTCCAACCTGATACTGGCAACAAAATGGATAACGAATAAGCTGGGCCCTGGTGGCTCACGCCTGTATCCTAGCTATTGAGGAGGCTGAGATCTGAGGATCACGATTCAAAGCCAGCCAGGGCAGGAAAGTCCATGAGACTCATCTCCAATAAACTACTCAGAAAACCAGAAGTGGTGCCGTGGCTCAAGTGGTAGAGTGCTAGCTTTGAGCTGAAGAGCTGAAAGACAGCACCCAGGCTAGACTTCAAACCCCATAATGGACAAAAAAAAATGGATAAAGAATATATTTAGTGTGAAAGTTACATATTGTCAAGTTACATAAAAAGTACAAACTGTAGAAAATAATATGAAATTATGAAAATGATTATAAAATGTCATAATCAAAATAATTATTTGAAGCTTAGCAATATTTGGTATTCAAATAGTCACTCAGCACTAGGTCATGAATCTTATATTATTATTATATTTTTTATGTCAGTCCTGAGTCTTGTACTCAGGGTCTCAGCTTTATTCCTGAGCTTTTATGCTCAAGGTTAGCTCTCTACAACTTGAACCACAGGTCTGAGTCTGGCTTTTTTGGTGGTGGTTAACTGGAGATAAGATTCTCAAAAACTTTCCTCCCCTTGCTGGCTTTGAACCACAGCCTCAGATTTCAGCCTTCTGAGTAGCAAGGATTACAGATACAAGCTACCAGCACCCAGCAGAAATTGGTTTTTTTTCTCTTGAACAGAACCTAACCAAAGTATACATCTAAAATATATAAATGTCTACATTTCAAAGACAGAAAAGATAATCATTATTAACGATCCAAGGATTTATGCCATGGTAAATATTTGCAAAAAATAATTAGAACTAGAAATTCTTCCATGTAGGCAATACTGACCTTTCATGGAACTCATACAAGCAACATCTCAGTAAAGCACCAATAGAATACCTATGTTCAAGCCATTTTACTTTCTGGTAAACCTTCCAGCCCAATTGCAAAATCTGTCTTTAGGTAAATAAGTTAGAGATTGAAGTATTGTGAAAATGTATCTACTAAAAAAAGAAAAAATGATACTAATGTCACTTTTGTTAGGTCATGCTGACAGCAATTAAATAGCAGCACCAAATTCTGGTAAGTGGACTAGTAAACTCATGTATTTTTTTGTGTCTCTCTAGAATAAAAGTAGTAAATATATTATATATAGAATTTATGTAACATTATATTTATATATATTTATATAACATTGTATTATAATATATTGTATATATAGTATATGTAACATTTTTAATAAAAATACATTGTATATGTAATTTATACTAATTTATAGTATCCATATTTCTAGGATCAACCATAATGAAGCTGATTATTTGGGCCTGCATCTTGTGTGTTGCTTTTGGAAAGAAGGTTAGTAAGGAAACTTTAAAAATCACAGCAGCTGGTATAACCATTGTCACTAAATCAAGTATTGGCAAGGATTCATGAGATAGGTACTTACTATCATGTTCATAAAAAATGCAACAGAGAAATATATTGATGGGCATAGAGTTTGTTGTGTCGAACTCTTAAAATCGAAGTAACCATGTTAAAAATATGGATCAGCTCCAAAGAAAAGAGTTGAACTCAGGAACATGGTAGCAGACGGAAAAGAGAGTTATAGGAAGTTAGAATTTCATGTATGCAGTTTAAGTAAATTTATCTCTTTATATTATAGAATGCTTTATATTATAGAGTAGGCTTTCTCTGGCAGTCAAGTCTGACTGCTGGATGTAGACTGCAAGTGAGTGGATGGAGCTTAGTAAGTGGACATACTCCTTTCAATATAATGTTCGATAAGAGTAGGAAATAGCAGAGACAAATTCTTAATCCTAGACAATCTGTGTGCTAAACATTCTCTTTGAGGAAATAAGAATATACCCAAACAGTTGTTTCTAAAACTAAATAAGCCAGAGTACCTAGCACATAGTCAGAAGTAAAATGCTACTTGTTATTTTAATTGATACTAATATTATTATGTACATAATTCAAAACTCCCATTCTAGCCCTTAAGATTACTTGTTTTAATTTTTAAAATTCTTTAAAATTGTAAATGTTTCCTATGCTAGTGTTTCACATACACACATTTAAGCTTCCTAGGAAAAAAATATATTTGTGGTCCTTCTGGTGTTACAGACCATTCAAAAACACACACACATACATGCACACTCACACAATATATAACACAAACAAAACTTGGAGTAAAAGAAACAGCAAAAAACAAGTATTGATTAAAACAGTGATCTTCCTATAGTGATGATTTTTTATGTGAACTAAAATCACCCCTGATTTAAAAATATGATGGTGATGATGATGATGATGATGATGATGATGATGGGAAAATGATGGGAAATTTAATTCAAATTAATGAAGTCATAGAAATTATGATAGAAAAAGAAATTATGACAATGCCAAGGCTTTTCAATCCTTGAGTAATATGTAATCGTAGGTACAGGGGTTCTCAAAGAAATAACTATATTGATATATTTTTTTCTTTGTTTTAGAGACATTATCCCTTTGGTCATGAGGTAAAACTTTTTTATACAAATGTATTTGTTTTTACCTAAAATTATACTTTATATTTAAAAATTCTTATTTCCTGACACTGTAAGTTAATTAGTGCTATTGCTATTAAAATATTCATTTTATTTATGAAATATAAACATACTTACCAGTCATTATTTCTTTTCAACATCCAAATAAGTTCACTCCTTTTGTGGGGTAATAAAAATTCTTGCTATTCCAGATTTTTCCCTTGTGTCTCTTCTCTATGTTTGTCATATAGTACTTGAACAAAGTGTTTTTATCCAGCAAGGCTTTGCTGCATAAGAGATTGGAACTAACAACAAAAACAGTGGCAGCCATATATTCTTGATGCTAGAAAGTGCAAGCTAGCGGAAGGATACGCCCAAGGAGTAAGATTAGCAGATATTCATGAATTATTCCAAGTAGGAGATAAAAATATTTTTAATGATTCTTGCTTTTTTCAGTGGCCATTCTTTTTTTTTTTTTTTGCTTCAAGGTCTGATTTCAGGAAATTTCTAAGAACACTACCTGTCCAGTAGTATAGCAGATATTTATGTCAGTCTAGTGAAGAAAAGTGAAGAGGTAGTATGGAATGTGAACCCAAGCTTTTCTAACTGTGACAAAGAAATTGTCATAGTTCTGTTTGTTTTTTTTTAGTTTATTATTATTATTATTATGAAAATACCTTACAGAGGAGTTTCAATTACATGGGCAAGATAATGAGTATATTCCTTATCAAGCATTGTTGCTTCCTCCTTTATTTCCCCTTCCTATCCCTTCCCATATTTCCCCTCCCTCCCCCTCCCCCAGTCACCTGCCAAAGTTGTAAAGTTCCTTTTTCTACATAACAACTTGTACCTCTCATTGTTGCAATGGGTCCACCTGTATCCCTATTTAAACGATTTGTTTCTGCCCTTCCCCTCCACAAATTGTACCAACATCAAATACAGTGAAAGCAGGGGTTATACCATGGGGGAGGGACATACAAAGCAACAAAGAAATCATCTTATACATATGGTAGAAACAATCACATGAAAGAAAAAACATTTGAATACTAATTTGGGGGTTTATTTCACCTAACATCAACATACCTGACCTTTTCTGCTTGTCTCAGACATATACTAGTTATTGCACATAAGGGAAACCATGGGACCTATGTTTCTTTGGGCCTGGCTTACTTCACTTAATATAATTTGTTCTAAGTCTTTCCATTTCCTAACAAATAGGGCAATGTCATTCTTTCTGATGGAGGCATAGAATTCCATTGTGTATATATACCATATTTTCTTGATCCATTCATCTACTGAGAGGCATCTGGGTTGGTTCCATATCTTAGCTATGGTAAATAATGCTGCAATAAACATAGCTGTGTTGATAGCTTTAGTATTGTCTTATTTGTGATCATTTGGGTAAATGCCCCAAAATGGGATTGCTGAGTCATAGGGGAGCTCTATGTGGAGTCTTTTGAGGAACCTCCATACTACTTTCCAAAGTAGTTGAACAAGTTTACACTCCCAGTGCAGTAGGGCTCCCTTTTGGTCATATCCCCTCCAGCATCTGTTGTTGTTAGAATTCTTGATTATAGCCATTCTAACTGGGGTGAGGTGGTATCTCAATGTTGTTTTCATTTGCATTTCTTTTATGGCTAGGGAGGTGGAACATTTCTTCATGTGTCTACTGGCCGTCCTTCTTTCCTCTTCAGAGAAGTTTCTCTTTAGCCCACTTATTTATTGGGCAGTTGTTTCTTTGAGGATTTGTTGTTGGGGAATTTCATTTTTTGAGTTCCAGGTATATTTTAGATATGACACCCTTGTCCATTATATGGCTAGTGAAGATCTTCTCCCAATCCATGAGCTTTCTATTGATCTTGCTAGCTATGTCCTTTGCCATGCAGAAGCTCATTTGTCCAACTGTTCTTTGATTTGTTATGTTTCTGGGTCTCTATTAAGAAAATTTCAGCCTGTGCCAAGAAGACCTAGGGTTTCTCCTATTCCATCCTGTAATGTTTTCAGAGAGTCTGCTTTGACTCCAAGGTCTTTGATCCATTTGGAGTTGATTCTGGCGCAGGGTGATACATAAGGATCTAGTTTTAGTTTTCTACAATTGATTAACCAATTTTTCCAGCACCATTTACTGAAGAGGCTGTCTTTCTTCCATTTTATTTTTTTAGCTCCCTTATCAAAGATTAGATGGCTATAGGTCTGTAGGTTCATTTCTGGGTTTTCAATTCTATTCCATTGGTTCTGAAGTCTGTTCTTGTGCCAGTACCAAACTGTTTTGATTACTATGACTTTATAGTAGAGTTTGAAATTTGGTATTGATATTCCTCCAGCACTGTCCTTTCTGTTAAGGATCATTTTTGCTATTCAGGGTCTTTTATTGTTCCATATGAATTTTTGGATTGCCTCTTCTATTTCCTTGAAGAATGAAGTTGGAATTTTATAGGTATCGCATTGAATTTGTAGATAGCCTTGGGAAGTTTTGCCATTTTCACCATGTTGATCCTTCCAATCCAAGAGTGGGAGGTTTTGCCACTTTCTAAGTTCTGTTTTGATTTCCTTTTTCAAGTTTTTAAAGTTTTCATCATAGAGGTCCTTGACTTCTTTGGTTAAGTTAATTCCTAGGTATTTTATTTTTTGTGGGGCTATTACAAATGGAGTTGCTTTCCTAATTTCAGCCACGCTATTTTCATTGTTGGCATACAGAAAATCCATTGATTTTTGAGGGTTAATTTTATACCCTGCTACTTTGCCAAAGTTTTGAATCAGCTTGTGTAATTTGGGAGTGGAGTCCAAGGGATTCTTTAAATTCAAGATCATGTCATCAGCAAAGAGAGAGAGTTTTACTTCATCTTTCCCTATTTGGATCCTCTTTATGTTTGCATCTTGTCTTATTGTTGTAGCTAGCCATTCTAATACTAGATTGAAGAGAAGTGGAGAGAGTGGGCTGAAGAGAAGTGGAGAGAGTGGGCATCCTTGTTTCATTTCTGAGTTAAGAGGAAATGGCTTTAGTTTTTTACCATTAAGTATAAGGCTGGCTGTAGGTTTGTCATGTACAGCCTTTAGTGTATTGAGGAATGGTCCATGGATTCCTAATTTTTCCAGAACCTTCATCATAAAGGGATGTTGGATCTTGTCAAATGCTTTTTCTGCATCTATTGAGATAACCATGTGATTCTTATCCTTGCTCTTGTTGATGTGATGAATTATATTAATTGATTTGCCTATATTGAACTAGCTTTGCATCCTTGAAATGAATCCTATTTGATCGTGGTGTATGATTTTTTTGATGAATTGTTGAAGTCGATTAGCCAAAATTTTGTTAAGAAGTTTTGCATCTATGTTCATCAAAGAAATGGGTCTAATTCTCTTTCGTTTATAAGTCCCTGCCTGGTTTGGGGATGAGGGTTACAATGGCTTCATAGGAAGAATTTGGTAGTGAACTTTCTCTTTCAATTTCATTGAAAAGTTGGAGGAGTATTGGTGTGACCTCTGCTTTGACGGCCTTGTAGAATTCTGCTGTAAATCCATCTGGTCCTGGGCTTTTCTTAGATGGGAGGTCTCTTACTGCTGTTTCTATTTCAATGCTTGATATGGGCCTGTTAAGCTGGTTTAACTCATCTTGGTTTAGTTTTGGCATGTCAATATTTGCCAGGAAAAGGTCCATTTCTGCCAAGTTCTCAAACTTATTAGCATAAAGGTTTGAGAAGTAATCCCTTATAATGTTCTGAATCTCGGTTGTTTCTGTGGTGATGTTTCCATTCTCATCTCTGAGTTTATTTATTTGGGTGTGTTCTCTTCTTTTTGATAAGATTTGCTAAGGGTCTGTCAATTTTGTTAATTTTTTCGAAGAACCTATCGGTTTTTTGATTCTAATTCATTTAATTCTGATTGTATTTTAATTATTTCTTTCCATCTATTGGATTGAGGTTTATTTTGCTGCTCTTTTTCAAGGAGGTTCAGATGTCTCATTAAATTGTTGGTTTCAGAACTCTCCAATTTGTTGATGTAGGAATTCAGAGCTATAAACTTGCCTCTGAGTACTACCTTAGCTACCTTAGTACTACCTTAGTACTCCCAGAGAACCCGGTAATTTGTGTGCTCATTTTTGTTGACTATTATGAACATTTGAGTTTCATTTCTAATCTCTTCCATGACCCACTGGTCATGGAACAGTGTGTTGTTCAGCCTCTGGAAATAAGTTTTAAGAAGTGAAATCAAATATTACTTTGAATCACTTTGGAGTTGATACTTTAATCATCAGATGAAAGTACTTCAAGATCTGCAATACAAATAGCTGAGATTTACCTCTATGAGTGTCCTGGAACACATACGCATGTGTATCCCATGTCATACCTTAAGGGAATCTGAAAAAACGATCTTGGGATTTTTTTTTAACTCTGTGATTCAAGAATGAAAGACAAAATTAGAAAGAAATATAAAATTTGTGTTAGTTAGCTTGGCTAAGTAGGAGGTGAAGATGTTTGTGAAAAGAAACCTCATTTGCCTTTTACAGTATCTTGGATTCCAATACCAACACAAAGACAGCACAACACAGGCACTTATTTTATATTTTCTAAAAAGTCACAGAATTCAAGAAAAAGCATAAACACTTAAGAAGTTACACTGAAAGTTTTGTTTTATTATCAGTGATTTTTTACTAAACACAAATAGTATGATGTGATCATCTGATGTAAATGAGAAACTAGACATAATATGGAGTTAAAACATTTGGTTAAGCTGGGTGCTGGTGGCTCACACCTGTAATCCAGGTTACTCAGGAGGCTGAGAATTTAAGATTTCAATTCAAAGCCAGCCCAGGCACAAAAGTCACCCTGAAACTTATCTCCAATTAACCTCTCAAAAACCAGAAGTGGAGCCGTGGCTCATAGTGCTAGAGCACTAGCCTTAAGCCAAAGAACTCAGGGTCAGTGCCTGAGTTCAAGCCCCACAATAACAACAATAATGAATAAATAAAACAAAAACAACAACAACAACCATTTGGTTATTTGTACCTGAAAGTGTACAAAGAAATATCAATAATAAATTTAAATAACAGTATAGAAACACTATGACTGGTAAGATATTGCTCCCAATCATTTCATGTCCCTTTGGAAGAATGGATATTAAGAAAATAGCCTGAAGGTACATAACTCACTAAAAACTGAGAACAAAGCAAATAACTATAATCTGTAAGAAGGAAAATCCTAAATTACTTGCAGCTTTGTTAGTGATAGTCAACCTGAATATAAGTAGACATTTTGCAGTGTTGAATTTTAAAAAGCTGTTTTCTTTTTGTTTTAGAAATCGTCTTCATCCAGTCAAAAGGTAAAATACATTCATATTTACTTACATTTGAAGATAATTATATGTAGCTTATAGTATTCCCTTTTCTTTAAAATAACTTTTCTCTCACAGTGTTAATTCAGTGTAATTATGGTTTTCCTTGAAAAGCTAAGGAATTCAGTTAGGAACATTTTCACTTCCACTGATGGTCCTAATTCAACATGCAAATAGAAAACCACAAATATATTTATGTTATATATCTCATGACAACTTATCCATACTGATACTCTGATAAATTTTGCTGCTTGGTTGACAGGCTAAATAGTTTTAAATGAACTCTTATGGAATTTTTTTACAGAAAGTACTTGGCAGGGCACAGTGGCTTAAGTCTCTATGCCAGCTACTTGGGAAATGGCAATCAGATAATGGCAATTGGAGACAGCCAGCCTAGGCAACAAAAACAAAAAAGTGTGAGACTTCCTGTCAACCACCATATATATATATATAGAGAGAGAGAGAGAGAGAGAGAGTACAAACCACTGCATGTGTATATATAGTGGTTGACAGGAAGTCTCATATATATGTATGTGTATATATATATATATATATATATATATATATATGCAGTGGTTTGTACTTGTCATCTCCAGAAACATGAAAAATCTTAAGAAGGATAAGTGCAGCCCAGGATAGCCAGAACAAAACAAAAGGCATTCCTTTGAAAATAACTAATACTAAAAGAGGCTGGAGGCATAGCTCAAGTGGTAGAGAGACAGCCTACAAGTGTGAAGCTCTGAGTTCAATCCCTAGTACTACCAAAGTAGAGGCAAAGATAGTATGGACAGAGAATGTCATGTTTACCAACAGATCCAAACACTGAATCTGTGTTCACAAATAGGATCCATTAGAGTTGAACTAACTTGAAATATATGTTAACAAAAGAAAAAAAAACAGTAATCCCATCCACTGATTAACACTAAATGCATAAAAAGGTTGTGTTGTTTAATATGTATTACAAAGGTATTTGTCAAAAATTGCTAAGGCAAGTATGTAACATAGTAAAGACTCCAGGATTCTTTCTTCTGATTCTTTTGTGTTAGTCTTAGGGCTTGAACTTAGGGCCTGGGTGCTGTCCCAGCCTCAAGGCTGACACTACCACTTGGAGCCACAGCTCCACTTCTACCTTTCTAGTGGTTAACTGGAGAGAAGAATCTCATAACTTCCATGCCTGGGCTGGCTTTGAACTTTGATCCTCAATTCTCAGCCTCCTGAGTAGCTAGGATTACAGGCGTAACTACCAGTGCCACACTTTTTTCCAAGATTCTAATATGTAAACAAGAGTGACCTATTCATGAAAACTTTCTGATAAGAAATAAAGTTTCATGTACATAAAAAACAAAATAAATATCTTGATCTTCTGTAGATTCTTACAGAATTATATCATCTTAGAGCTTCCTAACAAATTTAGAACAAACAGAAAAAATAGCATCTGCGATTTATAAATTTATGAGTGATGTTAGTTACAAATAACAAAACTGGGCACCAGAGAGCTGTTTGTAATCCTAGCTACACATGAAGCTGAAATCTGAGATTCTCAGTTCAAAGCCAGCCTTGAGCAGAAAATCTGAGGGACACTTTTCTCCATTTAACCACCAAAAAGTTAGAAGTGTAGCTGTGGTTCAAGTGGTAGAGCAATAACCTTGACCAGAAAAAATGCCCACTTCTGGAGCTGGGAAGGTGGCTCAGTGGTAGAGCACTTGCCTTGCATGCGTGAGGCCCTGGGTTTGATTCCTCAGCACCACATAAGCAAAAAGAAAAAAGCCAGAAGTGGCGCTGTGGCTCAAGTGGTAGAGCGCTAGCCTTGAGCTGAAGAGCTGAGGGACAGTGCCCAGGCCCAGAGATGAGGCCCCATGACCGGACCCAAAATAAAGAAAGAAAGAAAAGAAAAAATGCCTACTTCTGAGATCAAGTCCCAGTACCAGCACCAAAAATAATACAAAGCAAACAGATAAACAACCACAAATAACACACAGGGAAAGGTAAATGTGAAAAGCTAGTTGTCTCTCACCTACATCTGCTTAGCCACTTGAGCTATGAGATGCATAGCCTTAAAACAACAGAAGCTTTGATGGCTTAGGAGGCATTCAGAAGAACCAATCTAGGACTTAAGAAATCACTTTCTCTCAAAGAGAGGGATACAGAAGTGAAGGTTTTTAGGAGCCACTTTAGAGACTGGGAGGATACTCAGGGCCGTGAGCAAAGGAAGACGTATGGCAGAGAAGGGGCCAAAGCATGGATTCTATCCTCTTATATGAACACTCCTTTGAAATGCATGTATTTTTTTCATTTCTTTGTAGTCCTGGGGCACATGTCCCTTGATTCATAGCAATTTTGTCTATACTGAAAATACTTCTCATTCAAGTGGATTTATTCAAGTTTCTTGAGACATTTTTTACATTCCATGGAGCACACTTAGAAAGACTAAATCAGAATTATTTGTTGGTGGTGGTGGTTGTGCAGCTGGAACTTAGGACCTGGGTGCTTTTCCTGAGTCTCTTTGTGTGTAAGGCTAGCACTCTATCACTTGAACCACAGTACTACTTTCGGGTTTTGAGTGGTTTATTTGAGATAAGAGTCTCACGGGGACTTTTCTGCCTGGGTTGGCTTCAAACCGGGATCCTCAGATCTCAGCCTCCTGAGTAGCTAGGATTACAGGCTTGAGCCACTGGCACCGGGCCTAAATTAGAATTCTAAAAAAAAAAAGAAAATACTGCCCAGTGCCAGTGGCAGAACCCAGGGATATAATTCAAGCCCTGAGTTCAAGCCCTGGGACCAGCAAAAGCAAAAACCAAAACCACATTACTTATCCATTATCACAGTCATAATATAAATAATATTATGTATATATTTATATAGCTAGGAAAAAACTAGTCAACTACAATTGACTTCTTTGCTTCTCCTTTAGGATTTCACTGGCTTTCACTACCCACTTAATCCATCTCTGAATATTCCTTATGGCTTATGGAATGAAAATTTTCCTCCTGTTTACCATCCCCCAGGGAAAACCATGACCAATTATCCTTGGAATTCTGAGGGTGAAGCAACTCCATATCCCTGGGTTCTCTCTTCCAAAGACGCTGCTGCAAACCAAGACACTAATAATGTTCATTCAGATACTGCACCAACAGTTCCTGAAGCCCTGGCCGCGGGTGCACCTCTAGTAGCCGCTGCCGCTTCAGCCCCTGGAGCTCCAGGAATCCCTCCAATTCCAGGTTCCCCTCTAGCTCCAGGAGCCATTCCACCCCCTCCACCCCCTCCAGCCCCGCCGGCCTCCCCTGCAGCCCTTCCAGCCCCAGAAGCCCCTCTCCCCGCACCAGCAGGAGGCTCTGGAGGTCCTGTTGCCCCTCCATCCTCAGGAGGTCCTGGAACCCTTATTGTCCCTGTTGCTGTCCCCGCAGCCCCTGCAGTTCCTGCTCCTTTTCCTCCTCTTCCTCCTGCTCCTGCTAGAATGTACCCCTACATGGCATATTCAAATATAGTCACAGCACCTTCTGCCCAGTCTGTTGGAGCTCCAGCTGTCCCTGCCCCTGCTGCTCTTGCAGCGCCAGAGTCTTCTGCCGTGAAGCCTGGGGAGTTCCAGGCTTCTGTAGCTGAACCTATTGCACACCAGCCTTCTGGGGGCAAACCTGCTTCAGACCAGGCTGCTGGAGGCAAATCTGCTTCAGGCTCGCTGTCTTTAGGACAGACTGTACTAGGCAACGTTGGTGCAAGCAAAGCGGAAGCCGCCAAACCTATTGCAATATCGTTTTTATCAACCAAACCTGAAGATGAGCCTAATGAAGCCAACCTTGCATCTGAACCTATTCCTCTCATACCCGAGCCACCTTCTCTTGGACAGGTAGGTGTCCTGTTACCTTATCTCTGTAATCCGTAGAAAGAGGAAACGTAACCTCTCTTTAAGCATGCATAGATCACCTTCAACATTTCGGGCTGTTTTATTGAAATACCATGGATGTACAGTACACTGGAGATTCTATAAGAATAGATCTGATAAGTTTTCATCCATGAGTCCACCCACAAAAAAAAAATTCATCCTCAGGGTAATGAGTACACACGCCATGTCCCCAAACTACTCTCTGTACCTTTGTGAGGACTTGCCATTTCTCATGTCCTTGACTCGTCTGCCACTATGGATGGGTTTGTATTTTCTAGAATTTTATGTAAGTGAACTCACACTTTCTGAATTCTTAAATATTTGGCATCGTTTGCTTTTAGACGTTTATCCATGAACTTCAACATACCAATATAGTTCATTGTTTTTGCATTCATTATGTAAGTATGCCATTTTAAAATGTTCACTTATTTAACTACTGATGAACACTTCAGCTTCTAAACTGAAAGCCATTTGTTCATTCATTTTTAATTGCCACACTGATCTATTATTCAGCACAATATTAAAAATAAAGTGATTAAATGAATATCCTTGTCTCAATCCTGACAATAGGGGAAAGCATTAAGGTTTGTTTAATACACACACATGTATGTGAATATATTACACATATACCTGACATATGATATGTATGAATGTACATGTATATATATATATATATATATATATATTGTTTATATCTATGTGTCATATTTATACAAGTAACCACTGAGTAATTATTGTTGTTTACAATCTGGTATTTAGATATTGAAAATTTCTCCTTTCTCATATTTTATACAATAAAATAAAGAATATCTGGTTTCTTCTATTCATCTTAATGTAGGCCAAATGTTTTTTTTTAATTTTTAAAAGCAATATTTTAAAAAATTGACATAATTATTTAGTTGAGAAAAATAAAGTTTTAATAAATGCTTATTTGTCTATGAGTATTTTAGCTAGTACATTAAAATATTTTTTGAAATATTACCTGGTAGGCTACTTTAAATTTTTTATTTTATTATACAGATGCTGCACAGAGGGGTTACAGTTACATGAGTAAGACAATGAGTGCATTACAAGTTAAAATTTTATTAGCTATCTCACACACATAATTAGGCTAATTTATATAAGAGCAAATGGAATTTCTAACTGAAAAAATGATTCTCTGACCTTAGAACTAGAAGAGAAACAAAAAGTAGCATTCTGTCATTGAATATTAACATAATATAATTAACACTACTTCAATACTTCTGGTATTTGTTTCCTAGAAAATGCAAACTATCCCTCTTTTAAGATATTAAGGGAGTAAGTTAAATGTTTTTAGCTGTTCCATAAAAGTATAAAGATCTAGGATTATTTTCCATTTATCCATATATTAATTAACATGTTCATTTGATAAGCTTCTTTGACACAAGTACTTTCAATCTAATAGTTTTTGGTTCATATGAGAATAGAAAAGCTATGTAAAGAGAAAATAAAAATGAACAGTACTAGGTCCTTCTGACCAGAGGGGCCTTGAACACACTGCCAAATATATACCTGCATTTATCCTGTAGGCAAATGAATTTATCACTCCTCCATTGGAAGGATGATTTGATTGGCCCTCTGTTCTAGAAAACTAACTTTGGTAGAAGTATAGAACAATTTTAATACAGGTCATTACATCAGCAGGACAAAATTTAAGAAGAAAAATTGTTCAGAAAAGATACTAGGAAGTGAAACATTTTTGTCATTTATGAAAATATATTTTTTTTCTTTCAGGGGAGAACTAAAATTTTCTAGAAAAGAAAGCATCATGCATTTGTTTCCGTAAGTCATGTATAATATTCAGATTGAGAAATCACAGATTAAATGAATCATATCCTGAAGTGATCTTTTAACTATTATTGTACTATTTTAAGATACTTTTGAAAACAAAAATGTGAGGAATAACATGCTGGTCATCTATGCCCCCGTTCATTATGAAGTTATGAACTTATGTGCTATAAAAGGAACCCAGACTACTTTGGGACTAAAAAGTTTTCCCCCCTAAATTAATCTAATTTGATTATGAGTTGAATATTCTGAAATAGTATTGGTCAATTCAGGAAGAAACTTCCATAGAGGGGAAGAGGCATGGTTTGCTAAAGTTCCCACAGACCATTCTATATTCTAATTATTCAGCCACCAGTTTTTAAATTTACTTTGTTATTCTAAAGGTGATGTACAGAGGGCTCTCTCTCTCACAGTCCCTTCCTCCCATCTCCACCTGTAAGTTGTATAGTTCACTATCATTAGTGTCCTGTGAGTTCCCATGGTGCACTTTTGTACCTTTTTCCCTCAAGTTCTGTGCCCTCCCAAAGATAGGCACAAGAATAAATCACACAGAAAGAAAATAAAACAGAACCAGCAACAAAAAAGGAGATCTCTTGTTTCCATATTGTGGAGCTCATTTCCATATATAATTTTATATAAATATAAAGAGGATCATAGGCATTGTGCCTTTGTGTTTCTCCCCTCAAGAATATCCTCTTTTGGTCTCACTGTGTGTGAGTGTCTAGAATCCTGTATGATTTATCATATCCCAGTGTATTTTCTATTTAACTTCTTTGGCCACCATTTTTAACCCAGCTTGATAAACCACTGTTTCATAAAACAAGTGATTTAGACCTGCAGTCTCTCAGTCTCCATCTTCTACTGCTTCACTTCATCACACTCCCAATATTTGGGAGTGTGAACTCATTCTATTGCAGTCATCTGATCAGGAAAAAAGGAAGTAATGTGGTTATACTAATTTTAAGTCCTCATTTCTTCATCCTTTCCCAAAGCTGTTACCACTTTACTATTATAAATAGTCACTGGACAGGAAAATAGCAAGAATTCTGTGGGCCAAATCAAAATTTCTACTGAAAGTAACATAAGTTGCTGATGTACGATGGAAAAAGAAATTTGGTGATATCATAGCAGCCATTGCCAAGGATATTAAAATGTTTCAAATTTTACTTAAACCCTGCCTACTGCTATTATTTTGGTCTTCACTTATTTTACTTTTATATTAGATTAGTGAATAAAGTAGTTCAAGATATTAGTTCATGATTTCATATTCTCAATAATTAATTTGTATATTTACTTTTTTATTATGTTACTTAACAATAGATAAATGTCCCTATTTATCTGGAAATTCTCCCTGTTAAAATACAGAAGGAAGTGGGCTGGGAAGGTGGCTCAGTGGTAGAGCGCTTACCTTGCGTGCTTGAGGCCCAGGGTTCGATTCCTCAGCACCACATAAGCAGAAAAAAAAAAGCTGGAAGTGACGCTGTGGCTCAAGTGGTAGAGCGCTAGCCTTGAGCTGAAGAGCTGAGGGACGGTGCCCAGGCCCAGAGTTCAGGCCCCATGACCCACCCCCACAAAAAAAAATACAGAAGAAGTTATTCAATATCAGGAGAACATGTTGTTGACTGGGAGCTGAGGGGTCACACCTGTAATACTAGCTACTCAGGTGGCTGAGATCCAGAAGAGTGAATTTTGAAGCCAGCTTGGGCAGAAAAATCATGTGGGAACAATGAGGCATGACTCAAGTGATAGAATGCAAGCTCATCAGGCAGGAGATCCTGCTTTAAACCTTGATGCAAGAAAAAAAATAGTCACACAAAAATACCCTGTGTATATTTGCATGAAAATGCCTATATTTGCATGAAAATAAAGCATAAATGAATTTTTCACTTACTAAATCCTTAAAAGAATGCATTATTAATTGCTATACACATGAAAGAATTAAATATCAAAAACAGAAGGAAATATTACTTCTAAAAACATATTTATGGTATAGATTTCTATTTTGTTATTTTTATTTTATTTTATTTATTATTAGTATGATAACATAAAATATGTGGATATAATTTGTAAGTGTATATAAGTTGAAAATTCTAATAATTCAACAAACAAACTTAATGTGTTATTTTCCTTTTGCAGATACTGGCACAGAAATCAGTGAAATCAAAACAATATTCTCTCTTTTTCCAAAGACTATTTCAATCTGTTATATTAAAACTATTACTTGCTCTACACTGAGTAGCTTGTGATACTATTTTTAAATTTGACTTACACTAGAATGATAGTGGTTTTATTTCTTTGTAAAAAGAAAAACCTACTTCATAAATATAAAGATACTGATAGGAATTAAAACAAATTTAAATAAATGATATAAAAATATCTTCTGAGCATTATATAAAAGCAGATTAAAGATTTTTGTTTCCAAATTCTTTTTCCTGCATTTACACGAAAAGCAGTTAAGTCACCTCCAATCCTGACTCTCCCAGCTCCTTTAATCCCAAAATGGATCAACATCTTTGGGAAATGTGTTTATTTCCAAGTTATATACCACTTTTAGTTCTAGGAGCTTCTTTGAGCTCCTTATAAATATTAGCTCATCAAGCTCTTATAATTATCTTATGAGATAAATAATATTATTTCACTCATTTTAAAGATTAGGAAACTGAGTGGAAGAGAATACATATGCTTTGCCAATGATTACATAGCTAGAAAGTGTCAGATGGCAGATGAGAAAGCATATCAAGAAAATGAGGAAAAGAAAGCAAGCCAACCTAAAGTTTGGCATGTTGATTGTTTGGTTGCTGCAACACATTATCACAAAGTTGGTGGCTAAAAACATATATTTCTTTTCTTTTCTTTTTTTATTTCTTATGTTTTTGTTTTGCAGTCGTGGGGGCTGAACTCAGCCTGGGCGCTGTCCCTCAGCTCTTCAGCTCAAGGCTAACGCTCTGCCACTTGAGTCACAATCTGCCACTTACAGCTTTTTTTTTCTGCTTATGTGGTGCTGAGGAATTGAACCCAGGGCCTCATGCATGCAATGCAAGCACTCTACCACTGAGCTACCTTCCCGGCTCCCATAAACTTATTTTCTTATAATATGGAAGCCAGAAGTCCAAAATCAGATTTCCAAGTTGGAAATCAATGAGTAGACATCATCAGTACAATAGCATTGTCTTTGTCTCTTCCACTTTCTATGGTTACTAGCATTTCTTGGCTTCTACCCACTTTCCCTTATTTATTTATTTATTTGTCAGTCCTGGGGCTTGAACTCTGGACCTGGGTGCTGTCCCTCAGCTCTTCAGCTCAAGGCTAATGCACTTGAGCCATCATGGTTTTCTGGTGGTTTATTGGACATAAGAGTTTCACGGACTTTCCTGCTGGTGCTGGCTTTGAACTGAGATCCTCAGATCTCAGCCTCCTGAGTAGCTAGAATTACAGGCATGAGCTACCAATGCCATGTACCTTCCCTTATTTAATAGACATGATCTTAATGTAAGAAGAGAGATATCTGAGACAAACTAGACTGGTAAATATACAGCCAATCTCTCCGCATCTCACCTCACATTCTATTTCACCCTCCTGCCCAGCACATGGCTATCATTTCCTTGTCAGGTAAGATAAAATTCAGGATTCTGACTGCCCACCCTAACATAAAGAGACTCTAACCATTCCTGAACATTGAGGTAAGATGATGTATCGTCTAACCCCTAGATTTACTGTTCAATGATAAAACTCAAAAAGGTTAACCAAAGTAAACACTTTCATTTAGGAAATCCTAAATATGGGATTTAAAAAATATTACTGAACAGAGTAGAGACTCAACTAAAGAGAAACTTTATGATTTCTTGATCTGGAAATAAGCACTGGATTTATGGTTTGCTTTAGTTATACTTGAAGTGGATCTACCATCCTAAGTGTCTCAAGGTCCACTTTCTGTTCTGAAATTCAGAAGCTCAGGGAAATAATTGTTTTATAGAAAACAGGGGATTGTTACCTGTGGGTCAAGGCTAGAGAAAATGAGGACTGTTCAAAGATTGCAAATTTGCAATCTAGTAACAATTACTAACCATATTGTGCTCTTGAAATTTGTTCAGAGAACATGCTATTAAGTATAATAATTTACTGCCCAACTCCTGTCAAATGCAACTGAATGGTGAAAGGTCAAGTACCTTTGTTACAGTAATTATTAAGCTATGTTTATATGTTCATCTATGTGTGTGTAAATGTACCAAAACACATATACACATTAAAGATATCAAATTGTCACCTATCTCAAAAAGATGGGAGGAAAGGGAAAAAAATAATAGCCTATTCAAGCAATAAGTGAAAAACAACTAAATATACATTTAAAATATTTCTTTAAATATACATTTAAAGAAAAATTGTTAAAAGTCTCAGATAGACAAAAAAGTTTCTCTGGTTTGGTTGCAAGATTTCCTTGGCAATCTAATTCAACAGACATTCTGTAGGCCTCTGAATCAGTTTGTCTCCAGTAACATTCGTATGCAAATACACTGAATTGTCCTTTTTCTAAAGATAAAATCTGCTGTTTTCTCTTACTTTAGTAAGTTCAAAAACTTCAGTAAGTTTCAAAAATAATATAAAACCGTGTACCAGGTCTTTTTCTGAGTCACTTTATTCTACTAATTAGAATTATTTTGACTTGATTCCTGAGCTTTTTAAATCATTTTACTTATTGCCTGAGTAAGAGGTAAATAGAAATCACTTCCTCACTTGATAAAGTCTCAGCACTGTAGTTTATCTATTCATGTAGTATCTACTTGTAAACCAAACATTCTTAAATTCATTTCTTCAGTTTTCATCATGTGCTCTTAGTCTCAGCTAACACAAAAGAAATGAGTTATATCTTATCTGAGATGCGGTCTCCATCTGTATTACCTTCAAGGGTCAAATCAGTTTATATGGTAAAATGCTCTGCCAATCTACCCTCTATTACCTATGGGGTTGTAAATCTTTATTTATAAATATTCATGCATTTCTCCCATTGTTTGAGTTAATAATACAGAATAAAACTGGGCTCTATTATATCTAAGAACAAATCACATTTTATTTTTGTTGAATTCTATTATATCTAAGAACAAATCACATTTTATTTTTTTACTTGTACAAACCAGGCAAAAAAATTTCTCAGGTGCTTTATGAAAATTCTAAATTAAATGAACTCATAAAATACTATAATCACTTTCCTCATCCTAGATCTAAGTAAGATAGAGCTCTTTAAATAATGTTAGGTACAGTGATACAAGACAATATGTTGGAAATGAACTGTACAGTGGAGGTGGGGTTGAGGGGAGAGAAAGTGGAACAAAAATGAGGGGGCAGATGACAAGAAATGTACTACCTTATGTAACTGTTACCCCTGTGTTCATCACCTCGACAATAATTTTTTTATAGTTGTTTTCTTGAACATAATTGTTCTCTGTTTGGTTTGGTTTGATTTGGTTTATCAGTCATGGGGCTTGAACTCTGGTCCTGTGCACTGTGTCCTTCAGCTCTTTAGCTCAAGGCTAACACTCTACCATTTGAGCCACAGTGCCCGTTCTGGTTTTCTGGTGGTTTCTTGGAGATAAAAGTTTCACAGACTTTCCTGCCTGGGCTGGCTTTGAACCGTGATCCTCAGATCTCAGCCTCGTGAGTAGCTAGGATTACAGGCATGAGCCACCAGTGCCTTACTGACAATAAAATTTCTTAAAAAATAAAATTAAAAAATGTACCAAAATGAGGCTGGGAAGGTGGCTCAGTGGTAAGCGCTTTGCCTTGCATGCCTGAGGCCCTGGGTTTGATTCCTCAGCACCACATAAGCAGAAAAAAAAAGCCAGAAGTGGCACTGTGGCTCAACTGGTAGAGTGCTAGCCTTGAGCTGAGGAGCTGAAGGACAGCGCCCAGGCCCAGAGTTCAGGCCCCACGACCGGACCCAAAAACAAAAACAAAAAAAAATGTACTAAAATGAGTAATTAGCATATAACCATAATTTGAAAACTGTTTGATGGTGTGTATCACATGTGTTTCATACTCTCCAAGCCCTTGTACACTAAACTAGCACATAAAGCTATTATCCTGGTTCTCTTCATAAAGCATTTGTCTTTATCCAACAAATAAATAAATAAATAGCTAAATAGAGCACCACTATTTCAAGGTTTTTCAATATTTAAAATAAATTTACTTCAGTATAATTATTTTTTCTCTTTGTGATCCTATGTTTCTATGAATTTTAATTTTTAACTTTTTACTTATTAACATGTAGTAATTCTACAAAATGATGGATTGTACCATTTTCTCTGTTTATTTCCCTCTCAACCCCCCTCCCCAACAAAATTCTATGGTTCACTTCCAATACAGTGTCTAGTGAGTATCACTGATGATTTAGCTCACCCTTTGCCCACCATAATCTAGGTTCCACATATGTGAGAAAATATAATTGTCAATCTGAGTCTAGCTTACTTTGTGTAACATGATGATGTCCAGTTCCACCTATTTTCCTACAAATAACATTAAGCTGCTTGCTAGCTGAATAACATGGTCACTGTATATGTATATATATATATGTATATATATATGCATATGTATATCTGTATATGTGTGTGTCAATATGTACATGGGTCCATACACACATATCTTCTTTATCAGTGGGTAACTAGACTGATTCCATAACTTAGCCATCAGGAATAATACCATGTAAAATATGAATGTGCAAATTTTGCCATTATATGCTGACTTTGATTCCTTCTACTTTTTTTTTTTTTCAAGAACCTCCACATTAATTTTTATAGTGACTAGCTAATTTATTTCCCACCAAAATTATGTAATGGTAATCTTTGAGTTGTATTTCCCTGATAGGTAATATGCTAAATAGTTTTCATATATACATATATAGTGAGACACCATTTGTACTTGTTTTAAAACATGCAGTCACACACACACACACCTGTGTATACATGAGAAGAGTAAAGAGAGTTGCACAACTCTTAATCCTCTCCTTTGTTCTATTACTAATTGAAATTCTAAGAGTCTCTTCCTGCATCAGAAAAACAAGGGGGAAAAGTCTCTGAAATATGAAGATATGAAATAGTTGTAAAGTTTAAAATTTACTAATCAGTTAAAGTGTTGAATAACAGTTATGGGAAAACAGCCTAGAAATTGAAACTGAAAAGTTTACCATGGAAAAATATGAGAAGTCAAGAGACTTAACTTGATAAAAGTAATTTCTTGTGTATGGGGGGGTGGGTAGGCAGGTGTGGGTGTGTGTGTGTATGTGACAGAGAGAGAGCGAGAGAGAGAGAGCATGCAAGTGCACATGCACATGTGAGTATGTATGTGGAATGTTCTGGGTTTTAAACTTAGGGCCTGGGCACTCTGAACTCTTTTGCTATGGTTAGAACTCCACCACTTGAACCATAGCTCCACTTCGGGCTGTTTTGGTGGTGAGTAGGAGATAAGTGTGTGAACTTTCTTACTAGCACAGCCGATCTTAGCCTTCCAAGTAGTTAAGATTAGAGCCATGAGCCACCAGTATCCAAGTGGAAAAGAACATCTTACGAAATATGATAGCTGGCATTAAATACCTGAAAATTGTCTGTATTTTCATACTCATATGTATTATAACTATTTTATAATAAATCACCAGAACATATGTCTCACAGTGGGAAATGGAAGTACACACTTGTTACCCAAGCAAATGGGAGGCAACAATTGAGAACACAGTGGAGCCATTCTAGCAAAAAATAAAATACAAATACAAATCCATGAGACCCCGTCTCTACAGAAAAAGTTGGGCATGATGGCAAATACCTTCTAACCCGGCTACAGCAGGAA